CATAGTTCATTAATGAAAAAGACATAAGTATATAATAGGCATTCCCAACAATCAGATAAAGGGCATAAGCATTGGATAGACATTCCAAACATGCAAATCTGACAAGTAACTGTCTGGGGAGAAAAAGGGACCCTGATGTAAATCAGCCTTAAGTGACTCGATTGATGCGTTCCACTGGTGGAACGCGGAAGTGAAAATGCCGCGAACAGGGAGAGGAGAGCAAAAAAGGGCGCAAAAGACTGGATATAAATACAGATTATGAACTACAATCAACCAGAGCAACTGAGGAAGCCTTCAGACGAGGCGAAACGCGTATTGCAGCTAGAGACTACTCTAACAAGATTACCTTAAACTGTAAGGTCTTGTTTTTTATTTCTATTTGTGCACTTTACTATTAAAGCACTTTTACCATTTTATACCGATATGTGAGAGGACATTGGATTTTTTCCATCCCCTGGCAAGCTAAAAGAAGGAAGTGGTGATCCTTAATCCCACAGCGCTGGAAAATTGAGCCTTGAATTACAGGCTCTAATTTTGTGAGTATGTTACTATATATTTTATCCTCACTATATTTACTATTCAGACAATATTGCACTATCAAGTGTTATTATCTGTTCTACTTTTAGGATTTACCTGATATTATCTGTAACCAGAAGACACTCCACCTTACATTGTATGTATATTTAAATTTTATGTGAGGGTGAAGGGTACTCACTAAGGTGTTTTTGAGTATCTTTTTGGATTATTCTTTTATGTACGTGTCCCACTGGAAAATACTGTATTTACTGTATTTATTGTGTGCATGTATGTTGACTGTTAGTTGTGTTGTTTGTGAGGACTGTGTGTGTTTGAATGTGAGCTGTTCGTATTATTTGAAGGGGGAGGCTTCTTCTGCAGCTATGTTTATATCTAACAGTGTGGGTGGCTTCCCTGGGGTCCAGTGGGGACAGGTCTTGCCAGGTACAGGTCAAGGTCAAGAGCTGCAATAGCTTATGTGGATTGCTCTACCCTGGCGTGGATTCATGCACACACGTGCTAGGAAGATGTAATCTGAGATGTGTGAATTGAGGATTTACCCTTACCACCTGCAATCATCAATCTGGTTGCACTAGCAGATAACTGAAGTCCCAATGGGACTCCTAATAGGGCAGTGCCTGTTTGGTTCTAGAAGCTCTGAGTGCCATGCAAAGGCACCTTGCGTGCCGTGCGTGGCATATGTAGTTATGATTCTTGGAGTACTCTTTAATGGTGAAATACATATAATTAGTTTTTACTAATTAAAAGTGAAATTACTTTATAGTAGCAAAGGTTACATGCTTTCTAGGTACTCTACAATAGTATTTTTGATGTGGAATCAATTAATAAATTAGTTATTTTGCGTATCTGCCCCCGGCCATATTAAGAAGTAATGCATGCACGCTCCTAAAGTAAGTCACACCAGACACAGGTTTTGGGTTAATGAAAAACTTGAGGAATGTTTATTCTGAGGGGACGGCATGTCCCTTATAAAGCAAAATTACATCAAATGCATTGTCAGAGATAACATGGAATAATACATCAATAATTGGTTAGGTGTTAAATGGTTCTTTTAGTGCTCTTCCTACCTGGTGTGAGGTCACTGGTATCTTGGAGGTCTCCCCCAGATTCCAGCGCCATCTTGTTAGTGAGGGTGTTAGTCGATGTTAAGGGGAAACTCCCTAGCGGCCATTTTAGGTAAATCACATAGAAAGTTGAATAATGCTGATTGTAGTTATTCTGAGTAAATAGGCATTTTACCAACATGGATTGGATTAATATTTTTGTCCACAACAATTTTCACAAAAGAAACATTGTATTTCAACCAGCAAGAGCAATTATATTGAAATGTCATATTACATATTCAGAAACATAACATCTTCCTGCAATAATTGCTCAAAATTAACGATCACTATTTAAAAAAGAATAATTACATGCTTTTAAGCTTTGATGTATAAACACACAACCTTACTGTTTAATATTTTTCAATTGCACAACAAATATAAGCTTTGACTTTGAATAATGTATTATGTTTAATAGAAATGGCCTCTTAGTAACTCACATGCATTGCAACAGACCAAAGATTTCCCTTGGGTAAAGTACTCATTTGACAGACATAAGCTCATGTGGGCACAGTAGGCTTTGTATACACATGACCTCTATCACAAACATATTGTATATAAATAAAACAATGACCTTAGTGATAACAGTGGAAATAAGAAATCCATTATTGTTTTAATGCATTTTTTCAATGAATCTTCTCATAACAGAGTTGTTCTTACAAGTAAAGATGACACTACTATTTCCCATTGTTATCTACAGTTTTTTGAAAAGCTTAATAAAACTTATTTTTAAATAAAATTTGATACATATCCAATAGAACATATAAGGGATATTTACTAGAACATCTAAAATATGTAATTGCTCATAGCTGCGACACTATAAAATGACATAAATTATGTATCATTACTCACACTGTTTTACCTCCTTCACCTCAGCACTTGCGTTTTCATGATTGACATAGCATGCATTCATACAGCTATGTATACATGGTTTGCATAATACAAAATTAAGCTTGTTTATTACATATTCACTTAATTTGAGAATTACAACTTTATTTCAGTTTCTGAAATAACAGAGAGTTAAATATAGATTGAGTGTATTCATCTTTCCCCTCTGGCTGGAGATGCAGCATCTGAAGAGGAGGGGTGAGTGGTTGATGTCAAATGTTCCCTCTACCCGCCTGCCTGTTTGAAAAGTCACGCTGAGCATAAAGGGGAATATGACATAATATCACATCTGTGTGAAACAAGCAGGGGAGCAGCGTTAGCAGATATGGAGAGACAGCAAAACTGTATAGAGAGCAATCAGAGGGTGGCTGAAAGAGCTGAGGAAGGTAAGGGAGGGGGCTCAAATACTAAGATAAAAAGCAGCAATATGTCTGTAGATTGATCAGGAAAATATAGCCAACCCACATACAATCTATCCTCCCACACACTACCAATGCCACATCACTCACTTGCCCATCACATACCCATGCTGTCACATAACCCACACGCACATTCATGCTGTGAGATCACTTCCTTACCGACACACTCAAACTGTCATATCACCCTCCCCCCCACACACTCATGCTGTCACATCACTCAACCCACACACACTCATGCTGTCACATCACCCTCCTATACACACTCATGTTGTCACTTCAGCCTCCTATACACAATCATACGGTCACATGACCCCACTCCCCTACAGCCCTACTGTTGTCATATCAACCCCTCTCACCAACAAATACATATGCTGTTTATTGCCCCACACTGCACACACTCTTGCTGTTAATACTCAGAATACCAGGCTCACAAGAGTTGGAGAGAATAGCTGCTGGAACCTGAAGATAGCGTTTACTGGGCCCTTTTTCCCTATACAGGCACCTTGAAGCCTGGCATCATGCACGACCGATGATGGTTCTGTACCGTCATCAGCAACATCCTCTTGAGAACTGATGACGGTCCTGAACAGTAATAAATGACAGGCAGTCTCCCTGCTACTGGAAAATAGAACATATAAATAAAAATATTAGTAAAAATGTTTAGTAAATAACACACACCTTGCATATATAATGTCATATTAAGTCTATTTTTATATTAATATATGCATATAATATAAAAATGCACTTATAATTAAGTTACACGTGTGTACATATATATATATACACATACAACATAAAGTAATAAGTAAATACAACTAAAAAAGTAAAAAATTAAAACAAATTATATATGTAATTTTATTCTAACTGAATATATATATCTCCATATACATAATTTCATAAATGAACATGTAACATAACTTCAAATGTATAAATATGTATATATCTAAATTCTACATGCATATTTCTGTAATATTTTATTGATCGCAATTTGAGGGACCTGCCTGACAACCCAGGCCGAAAGTCCAGATAATTTAATTTGCTAGCACTGTATTTAACCCTGTAACTTTCCATGATACCCTAAAACCTGTACACGGGGGAATACTGTTTTATTTGAGAGACTTCACTGAATATAATATCAGTGTTTCAAAACAGTAAAACATATCAAAGCGATTATATTGTCAGTGAAAGTTAAATCTTTTGCATTTTTCACACACAAACAACACTTTCACTAAGGATATCATTGTTGTGATACAAATTACTGTTTGAAACAATAACAAATATTTGTGTGCAACAAAGTCTCCCGAGTATAACAGTACAGATACAAGTTTATAGTGTTATTGAAAGTTACTGGGTCAAAGATAAGGCTTGATTTTCGTTTTTTAAATTTGCCAGATTGGTTATGTTGCCTTTGAGAGTGCATGGTAGCCCAGGAATAAGAATTACCCCCATGATGGCATACCATTTGCAAAAGTAGACAACCCAAGGTATTGCAAATGGGGTATGTTCAGCCTTTTTTAGTAGCCACTTAGTCAAAAACATTGGCCAAAGTTAGCGTTCCTAGTTGTTTTTTGCATTTGTCACACACAAATAAATATAAATGCTAACTTTGTCCAGTGTTTGTGATAAAGTGGCTACTAAAAAAGACTGGACAGACCCCATATTGAACACCCTGGGCTGTCTACTTTAAAAAAATATGTACATGTGAGGTGTGATTCGGAGATTTATGACAGATAAGTATTACAATGTCACTACTGATAAATTTTAAAATTATATATTTGAAACAGCAATGTCCTACTTGTACTTATAGCCCTAAAAAAAAACCATAAAACAAAAAAAAACAGCACTTAAACACTGGGTGTTTTTTTAAACTCAGGTTTTTTTCACTAGCTTTTGTAGACAAGTAAAATATTTTTCAAATAAAAGTTAAAAGAAATGTACTTTTCAATTTTTTAATATATATATATATATATATATATATATATATATATATATATATATATATATACACATACATACAGTAAATGAAAGAGGGGCAGGCAAAACCCAAAAAATGTAAGCACCTCCCCCAAATTACCTTTGGCACTATAACGTGCCTCTTACCTCTAGGAACCCCAGACAATACAAAAGCCAGATAACTGCAAAATGTACTTTATTAGAAAATCAGGGGGAATAGTGAGCACTGCCTCTAATCTTCAGGAAAATAAATTTACAGTAAGTAAAAATGTATGCTCTTCCCTTCAGATTAGAGGCAGTGCTTTACAACAGGGATAACCAAATAAATCCCCTAAGGGTGGAACTCATTTTACAACTGCTTGCAACACCTTGCCCCTTTACCCTGTAATAGCCCCTCCAACCCCTAGCCTTTCACAGCCACTCTACCCCCCACCTTGTCACAACTCCTCCACCCCCACCCTGTCACAGCCCCCCAACCTGGCACAGCCCCTCTTGCCCCCCCCCCAACCTGGCACAGCACCTCTAACCCTCTACCCTGTCATATCCCCTCAATCCCACCTACCTGTCACAGCCCCTACAGCCCCCCACCATGTCACAGCCCCATTTACCCTGTCACAGCCCCCTACTCTGTTATAGTCCTTACAGCCCATCACAGATTCTCCTACCCTGTCACAGCTCCCTCTACTGTGACACCCGCACTACATTCTGTCACCCCTTCACACACACTATGTAACAACCCCCACACACACCCTGTCATGTGCACCCCTCACCCCCACCCTGTCACAGGCCCCCCCACACACACACTCTATCACAGCCCCAACACACCCTGTCATGTGCACCCCTACACACATAAACACCCACCCTGTCACAGCCCCCTCACACACACACCCTTTCATGTGAACTGCCCCCACACACACCCTGTCAACCCCCTTACACACCCTGTCACAGCCTCCCCCCACGCAGACACCCTGTCACAGCCTCCCCCCACGCAGACACCCTGCCACCCCCACCGATACGTCATCAGCCCCACCTATACCCTATCATCATGTCACGGTCTTACCTTGGTTGGAGTCTAACCACTAAATTAAATTAATTTATTTTTAATTACTTTTCTTAACCTGTACTAATTATGCACTCATTATTATTGCAAAAACTGTAAAAAAAATACAAAATTTTCATTTTTTTACATTTTTCGGTATTTTTTTTATAATAAATACGCATATGCGTATTTATTATAAAAAAATACCGAAAAATGTAAAAAAAATGAAAATGTTGTGTTTTTTTTACAGTTTTTGCAATAATAATGTGTGCATAATTAGTACAGGTTAAGAAAAGTAATTAAAAATAAATTAATTTAGTTGTTCTGATTTACAGAATATATAATGTGTCTGGGATTTTAAGTTTTTTTTGGTAGTTACAGGTCACAAAGCACAAGCAGTAAAATAGACTTTTAATGTGGAGCGATCTTAGAATTTGGTATGTTTGTCTTGTAAGCTTAATAGCCACAAAAGAAAACAAAATTGCCACACAAAAGTATATATTTATATAAAGTAGACATCACGGGCTATTTACCTAAGGTTGTTTTGACATTTTCTATGTAGCCATTTCACCGCCAACCTCTGCTAAATATTGGAGTAAAATGGTGGGGTTTTTTTGTTTTTTGGCACACAAACTTATAACAAAGAAATTCTCATGTATATTTTGTAAAGTTGGTGTGTGCTATTCCTGTACAAAGTTTTATTTTGTGTTCAGTTACATCTGCTGAGTAAAATGACACCCCCATTGTATGTCTTTGGCACTATTTTGTGAAGTTACAGTGCCATACAGGTTACCTGTCCTTTTCAGTATTCACAGTAGAATTTTGAGAGATGGATTTAATGAGCCTTAGCTTCCATTTGGGGTATTATAACAGTTTGACTGTTCAAAGAAAACCCACAAAGGCCTACCATTTGTAAAAGTAGACACTCCAGGGTATCTCATAAGGTGCATATTGTGCCTTAACATACCCCCATTTTTTCACCAATATATGCCAAAGTATGTGGTAAAAAATAATTTTGTGCATTGTTTACATACGGATTGCATTTTTGCTGTGCGTTTTCTATATTTCATATGTGCCACTAAGTTCAAACCTCCCAAATTATGCTCAGATAAGTCTTCCGAGTAAAAAGACAACCCCAATGAATGTCTTTGGTACTATTTCGTGACGCTACCGTGCCATATAGGAGACCAAGCCATATCCGTTTTTACCGAACTTTGAATTTTGACGCTGGACCTATGTGCAATTTCAAGCATCTTCGCAGGTTTTAAATTCAAACTACCCCACAAAGGCCTACCATTTCTTAAAGTAGACACCCCAGGGTGTTTCAAAAGGTATATTTTGAACCTTAGCATGGGATAATTTTTCCGCTAGCTTGTACCAGATGTAGTGGTTATAAGTGTTTTTTCTGCCTTTTTGACATACAAAGTGAGTTTGCACAGTATATTTTGCAAACCTTATGTGTGCTACGACTGTATAATACTTCATATGTTGCTCAGCTATGTCGGCTGAGTACAGCAATACCCCCATATGTACCTTTGCCAGGTATATGTGGACATCGGAGGGGCACATTTGGGACACAGCCATTCCAGTTTTTTTCAAACTTTGAATTTTTACGCTGTGCCTATGTCCCATTTTAGAGTATTTTACCAGGCTATATAATCCAAATACCCAATAAAGCCATACCATTTCTTAAAGAAGACATCCCAGGGTATTTCAAAAGGCATATTTTAAACCTTAGCATGGGATCATTTTTCCGCTAGCTTGTACCAAGTGTAGTGGTAATAAGCATTTTTTCTGCCTTTTTGACATACAAAGTGAGTTTGCGCAGGATATTTTGCAAACCTTATGTGTGCTATGACTGTATAATACTTCATATGTTGCTCTGCTATGTCGGCTGAGTACAGAAATACCCCCGTATGTACCTTTGCCAGGTATATGTGGATGTTGAAGGGGCGCATTTAAGACGCAGCCATTCAGTTTTTTTCTAACTTTGAAGTTTTACTCTGTGTCCATGTTCCAATTGGAATAATTTAGATGGTTGGTTATTGAAAGTTCCCCACAAACACATACTATTTATTAAAGAATACATCCTGGGGTAATTCAAAAGGCATATTTTGAACCTTGGCGTGGGATAATTTTTTCTCTAGTTTGTTCCAGGTGTAGTGGTAATGAGCGTTTTTAAAATTTATTTTTTTACTTTTATTAACTTTTTTACTTTTAAAACTAGTTTTTAAACTTTTGTTTTGCTTATTAATTTTTTTTAAACTTTCCTAAACTTTCTTAAAACTTTTTTACAGATTTATCATTTTTCTAAGCTTTTTTTTTACCGTTAACCCCTAACTAGCAGTAAGCAGCACTAACAGTAAATTGCCCATTTTCCCATAACTCCCACCCACCCCAGCTAGCAAAATATATAGTTATAAAATATTTCAATTAATTAATTAAATAAATTGAACCCCTGAGGGTTAAAAAATAAATAAAAGTTAATCCTGTGTATAATACTGTGATCTGTATTTGATCGCTGTAGGCAGTGATCGACTGGCAGGGAAGGGGTTAATTTTTATTTGGACTAGGTAAAGGGGGGTGTTGTTTTTAGTTTTTACTTAAACGTTATTAAAACTTTTTTTAAGCTCAATTTTTAACTTTTTAAAGTATATTTTAAAACTTTTTAACGTTAACCCTTAGTTAGCCTAACGCCAAATCCCCCAATTCCCCACTAACTTGCACCCACCCCAGCTAGCTAAATATATCATTTTAAAATATTTTAATTAATTAATTAAATAAATTTAACCCCCAAGGGTTAAAAAAAATAAGATCATAGTAAAATGTAATCCCTAAAAACAAATAACAAATAGGTGAGAGCACACAATAATAATGAAATACTACCCACACTGCAGTCAATTGATCTGGAAAAAAAACAAATAAACAAACATAGAGTAGTATAGTCTAGTAGAATATATATGCAATGGATATAAATCACACTCACATAAATAGAGCCACTTAAAAAGCTGGCTCAGACTAGACGCCTTGAATATACAAACAGGGACCTCCACTGGGAACTTTCTTCCTCTTTAAATGTAGAACCTCCAGGACGCAGAAAAACTGGGGGTAAAACAAGCTTTTATTCTTCAAATCTTGAAGTAAATTAAAACCATACATCAAAAGGTAAAATAAAAAGTCCCAAAATGAGAGTCCAAACACTTAACGCGTTTCGGCTATTGCCTTCATCCGAAGTGATATCCAATTCAAGGCATGTTGTTTTAAATAGTTGAAATTGGCGCCCATTCTTTCCACCGTTCTGATTGCGTCTTCCTACTTCCGGTTTCGCCGTCGTAACGTCTGCGTCATTACGTTCCGACGCCATTGCGTCATTTCCGGTTCCGGTCAAATGTTTTGTAGTCCGGACACACACACGCAAAAAAGAGGAACGGCATCATGTAATGTCCAAATTTTCTCTATCACCAAAAAACGGCAATTTTTTGTAACTCATAATTATTGGAACTAAAATCAAAAATTAAAGGGATGCTTTCTTTTTTGTTTATACCAGTCTCGTTGTTTCCTTTACTTTTATATTGTAGAAGATATTGTCTGTCTTTTTCACCAATTTCTTTTTCTATTTTTTCCAATTGGCTAATGTCATATCCTTTTACATAAAATTTCAGTTTTAAAATTTCCGTTTGTCTAAAATATTCCTTCTCTTCCGTACAGTTTCTCTTCATCCTTAAAAATTGACCCTTTGGTATATTTTCCAACCATGGTTTAACCCCTTAAGGACCAAATTTCTTGAATAAATGGGAATCATGACATGTCACACATGTCATGTGTCCTTAAGGGGTTAAAATGACAACTCTTAAGATCAATAAAACTGTTCACATCAACTGTTTTAAAAAATGTTTTATCATATTATCCTCTACATAAATACTTAAATCTAAAAAGTTGATCTGTTGTGAATTAATCTCATACGACAAATTTATATTAAAAGTATTATTATTAAGAGATAAAATGAATCACATGTTGCCATAATAAAATCTTCTTGCCATTTAAAATTGTCTAAAATAGGATCAGTGTTGTCTCCTTTATCACAGTATATAGACCAATTTCTACAAAAAATGGTAATTAAATGTCCAGCATATTTAAAGGACACAATGAGTTTGTTACAAATTTTAGACAATTTTAAATGACAAGAAGATTTTATTATGGCAACATGTGATGTGAGCAGCTTATACACTATAATTCATCATGAAAGAGGCTGCAAAGCCATTAGATTTTATCT